CAAAAGTTATTTATAGTGTCTTATTGACGGAAAATTGAGTGCTAAAAAAATCGATGCCCCCTACCCTTTGTTTTTTTTTTAGTTGATACACCTTGTATGTGTATCTTTTTTTAATATAATATATTCTAATATATAAAATTTGCATGGCAATGAGATGGATGGAAGCCGAGTTATTGCACAGAAAGTACCAAAACCCATAAACATAGTGAGGGTCTTAGGTTATGGGGAGCCATGTATGGGATCAGTTCTCTTCAATAGATTTTCACTCCCTGTGTCACACTCGTATGTAAAAAGTCACTTCCATCTGTGATGGTAGCGAAAACCTGAACTGTATTGTAAAACGCGTCAGGTATCAGACATGCCCTAAAAATAGGAATTGAAAGTTCAACGGGAAGACGTCCTTTTTTGGAGTAGCAAACGAAATTTCGAATAAAAGTACAGTCTGTCGCAAAATTTAAATTTGAATGATTACTTTCCATTTTCTTTTCGTTCCCCTGCGAGTGCGCCTATAGAGATGTTCCACTTAATGTGTAACCATATTTGGTGTTGATGTTGTTGCTGTGATTTCCCATGAAATTGGCTTAAATATTGTCGCAACAATTGTCAACGGCTGCTTGTCTATTTTGTTCTGTCCTATGTCCCTGCTCCTGCGCCTGCTCCTGCCCCTTTGTCGTTCTACACGATTTGACATTTGTTGACTCTTTCGCTTTGACAGCCATTAATCATGGCATTGTTGTTGCCAATTTCAAATCCGTAAACACACACACAGACATACATACATACATTCAATGCTCAACTGATTAATGATACTTCATATTTGGACGCAAACCAGTCCCCACTCCCCACTCCCCACTCGCCATTCACCCACCCACCAGTTCTGCGAGCGTACGAGTACAATTGAAATAATACAATTTTAGAACAGAGCAGACAAAACTGGCGCGTTGATAAATGAAACTTTAAAGGCAGACGACAAGGCGGCTGTGAGAATGGGCTATTGTCTAAGGACGACCGCAAAAGTTTGGCAGCCGTCGCTGAAGTCGATAAGCAATCTTTTCAATATATACGCCATGTATGCGCTTAGCAAACTTTGCCGTCTTCTGGCTCTCTGGCTCTAATAAGGAGACGCGGCGAGGAGTGGGCGGCAAGCAGAACGCCGCTTCAGGCCATAACAATAAAAGCCATTTATAGATTTCGATTTATGTGGGTGTGCTGAGCGCATATAGCGCTATACTCGTATGTTCACATATGACGCCAGCAGGCTGGCAAACTAATTCACCCCACGCTTCCGCTGCCACACACCCTGCTGCCGTGTCCGCCACCAGATATCTGCAGGCATAAGTTCGATGGATGCTGCATAGTTTTAGGCGCTCGCCCAAGACTCCTTCGAGGCTGCGCTTATCAGCACTTTTGTTTTATTACGCCGCGTTCGCGAACGCGGCCGTCCTTTGTTTCTGCCTAGTGTCATAATCAGTATAATGCTTATGAAAATGTCCTTCTTATCAGCCAAAATGTTGCCGTCGTCATTGTCATTTTTCTTTTTCCTGCCCATAACGAAGCGCTGTTCGGTCCTTGATTCGTTCGTTGGCAGGAGAAATCTATAAAAGTGATGTTTCAATTTAGCATGGGACCTCGTTCAGAGTGAATCATAAAATGCTGAAAAATGTTCAAATCACATAAAATATTACGAGCACTTGCGCTTAGATAAGAGCCATTTATATTGTAGTTACAGTTATTGGAAAATTGCACAGCGCTTTCACAATTCATCAGAACAGTCCTTTCGGTGACGACATTTGTTTCATCCATGGCTATAGCTATCCGAAGTCGCAGACTATTTCTAGTCGAACAAATGTCTAGGAGTTCATCTAATATTTCCGCGACAGCCATTCAAATTTAAGTATCCTCCTCTTCCATCAACTATAATTACAATTCTCGGTAGATTACTCGTACTTTGAGTTCCCTATTTTGTTCATATTTATAGCGATGTCTTTTAATGCTCTAGATGTTCAGAAATGAGAAAAATTTACAACTAAGTAGATGTACGTGTACATGTGTTTTTCCTCCCTAATACTGATAGTTCCACCTCTGTGTTAGGGACCCAACAGTGAATATTGGATACTCGGATATTTAGATACTACTCGGCCATCCATCATATTTACTGCGTAGCCCGGTCCTCCATCCCTCTATAAAAATATTTGAATATGAAATAATCAGGATTTATCGAAACTATTTGGAAAACGACAGAGCGGCTTTGAACATTCTTCATCTACAGGTCCAAGACTCTGCTCGTTCTATTACCATCAAAACTACAGGTTAAAAGACAACGAGGTGGACTGAAAGTCAGAATAATGTCAGAATCGTGTCTATGCGTGTTTGTGTAAAGCAGCAACAAATACAGCTGCGGGCAGAGCTTGGGCCTGGTTATATGGCCATAACTATCATAATAAAACGGATACGGATATATAATTACTAACTGGACTACCAAATTTGAGTTCAAATTCCAAGAATAACGGGAGTTATAGAAAATCGTGAATCGCATGGAAGTGGGGGGTGCATCGGGAACTTTCCCGTTCTCGGCCTCAGGAGAATCTGGATACCAGGTTTGGTTATTCTAGCTCTTATACTCTCTGAGATCCTTGCGTTCATACAGACAGACAGACGGACAGACAGACAGACAGGCGGACAGACGGACATGGCTATATCGACTCAGCTTGTCATTCTGATCAAGAAAATATACACTTTGTGGGGTCTGCCACGCCTCCTTCTGTGTGTTACATGTACACTGGCACAAAACTAATATACCCTTCTACCTTTTGGGTACAGGGTATAAAAAATAAAATAAAATGTGCAAGAAGGAGGAAAAGTAATAGTGTAGCATGGCAACTAAGCAATGAAATAGCCCTGATATTAAGAGAATTACCCTTAGACGGATGGGCACCAATGCAGAATCCATTTCTCGCCAACAACAACTGGCATCCAAAACGAGAATAAAAAGTACCTGCAAACAACCACAATTGTGCTACACATACTGGTACCTATTTGCTTTTCCACAAAGCTTATTTAAAAATCCTTCACCTGTAAAAGTATTACACTTGGGGCCTTTTTTAGCCTCCACCAAATTTTAGCATATCGTAATCTGTGCAAAAGTTTAGGAAAACAAATCTGCTTCGCTCGGTGGTCACGATAAAAAGAAGAGAAGTGCCATACTTGTAAAAAAAAGGAAAAAGGATACCAATGTCACTGACAACAAGAACTAGGTTATATAAACTGATAATAATATTGTGCTGAACCAAAATCTCTTTATGTAGGGTCTACAAATAATTACAATTTACTTAAACTTCACTTTCCCATGTTGCGAGGAAGTTCAGTTATGTAAGTGTTATATCTTGGTAAATCTGTTTATCAGGCTGTGCTTAGTAATATCTATATTGGATGAAAAGAAATATCCGATCCATGTCCAATCGCTTTATTGGTGATAATGGGAATGATTTTATTTTTGTCAACGATTTTTTAAAAAGTATTGTTCAAAACAAAAACTGCAATAAAACAAATTAGAGAAGCTAAAGTTGGGTGTCCCGACTTTGAAATACTCTGTACATATGTGTACGAGTACTAAATTCCAAAAATTACGGGAGTTATGCAAAAAAAACATGAATTGTGGGGGAGTGGGGGGTGTATCAGAAAAAATAAACAAACTTGATCTGCTTAGGGCTCAGAAGAACCGGAATACCAAGTTCGGTTACTCTAACTGTTGTACTTGCTGAGATCCTTGCGTTCATACAGACAGACAAACGGACGCCTCTTTCTGTGTGTTACACATATTCTCACAAAACTAGTATACCGTTTCACCCTTTGGGTACAGCCGACGATTGATTGGTTGGCTTACCGATATCTCTTAAAATCGTTTATTTTAATTATACGGACACGCATAGACACAATGCCGATGTAAATAAATGCTTTTGAAAGAGTACACAATAAAGCAATGTATTTTTTATTTTATTTAATCGACTTAAGGTTTTAAAAATTAATTTTCTTTTTGTTGGAATGGGTAAAGGGTATTTAATGTACAGCTGTATCTGCAGAGTTCGTAATATATGAGCAGTATGCGATCATATGTAGTTATTGGCAATTTCTCGGCGTTTTATTTGTCCTAGGGATGTACGAAAAACCGCTATTTAGAATTATGCTGCTACTGCGCTATATAAAGCAAAACCTTCCATTGAAATTTCATACACGGCGCTCCAAAGTATTGTTTACTCAATTTTCCCAAAAGGAAAGCCTTAATCCTTTCTTGTTCAATATCGACAAGCAGGAGCACAGACACGTCCATTGAACTTATAGATCGGGTATGAAGCACATCGGTAAATTAGTTTCCACTAATTATTTTCCACTCATACACACGCCTGGCAAATAAGAAGTCTTGGTATTTTGAAATGTTTGTTAAATACATTTATTTGTATGCTTATTTTTTGGGTTTTTTGTTTTTGTTTTTGTGTTCCATCAGCACTGTCTGCTGAGTTATTTATTTATTATATCTGCGTTTTGTAGCGTTCCCGTTCTTGCCTCACTACCGACTAACATTATCAGCCCTATAGTCATATGGTACATATACTAAATATTTTGATTTCTTCGAGTTGCGCAAAAAAAAAATAGATTTACTTATACATTAAACATTTATTTAAGATGTAAGTAGGTAGGTAGTATTGTATGTATTATGTATGCACGTTTAATTATGTTGTTCTTTTCTTGTTTCTTGTTTGTTTTTGTTTGCTTTTTGCTTTGCTTTTGTTTTTGTTTTCTTCTTGTTTTTGTTTTTGTTCTCCCCTTCAAGTTAATGCATAGTCGTAGATTTAGTTTTCATTTGTTGCTTTTACACTTTGGTTTTTCTCTGCTAGCATTTTGTTTCTGTTTCTGCCTAAGACTTAATTTACACGACAATTTCATTCGCTTGGTGTGTGTGTGTGTGTGGGGTTTTTTTTGTTTTTATTAAATGTATGTATGTGTGGCATTATAGATATTTCCATTTATTTGAATACATATACACATAAATACATACACATATTATATTTGCTAGTTTTGTTACATTTTTTAAAACTCTTCTGCGCTCATTTTCATGAAAAAATATTGCACTCTTCGCATGGAATTGTACGACGAGCCTGCACACTTTTTTGTGTGTCTCTTTAACTTCAATTCTAATACACACATATTGAAATGAAAGGGTGAATGAGTTTCAATAAATACACTTTATTTATAATATGCCTGGCATGCAAAAACTGAGCGATGCCATTCCATTTATGTCAACTTTTTTTATACATTTGCGTTTGCAAGCTTTTGCCTCGTATTTTACTTTGTTCTTTATGCTATGAATGAATAAAAAAAAAACAAAAAAAAAATGGGTTCATAAATTGTTAGCCTCACACTAAACTAAACTAAACTAAACTAAACTAAACTTAAATAATAATCAACAATGTTGCAGCTCGTTTATTTATATGTTCATTATGTTCTTCACTTCACTGAGCGAGCACTAAAAGAACTACTTTTTAGCATATGCAAAAAAATGTGTGGTTTATGTAAAATATTTACAAAGTATTGAGTTTTCGAAATGTAGACGAAAATTTAACAAGTCCTAATAAGCTGTTGAAATGTTGAATGAAATAAATGTTACATAAAACGTCGGTGGGGATGTTTAACAATTGATTTTCTGCTTTCTTTCTGTGGGCTACAAAGGAGATGAGCAGCAGAGCTTTGTGTTCGAATAGCAATACAATGAAATAAATAAAAATCTAAAGCATTTAAGTCGATTCGCACATTGCCGCTAGTTTTCCCTTATTTCTTTCTGTTGCTGTTGTTCTTGTTGTTGTTTTCTTCACTTTTTTTGGCACTGGTTTTTAATATTATAAAATTCATAATTTGGCACCGCCGGCCGCAGTTGATCGCTTCAAGCGTTGCTGGGCATAGAGTTAAAAAATAAAAATAAAAAACTTAAGTAAAAATCAGATTTAAAAATTACACAAAATTCAAATGTGATCTTATAACTAAATTAAAATCAATTTAAGAGCGGGTGGCTGTAACTGGAAATTCGCTTTAAGCGCTACCGGAGAGAAGTGTCTAGTCAACAATTGTAAAAAATGAGAACTGGATATTGAATTGTAGTTTTTGAGAGTCCCTCCTAAAAACAAAACTAAAACACAAAATATGCGCATCTATAATAATTTTCTCCTTTCAACTAAGAATGTCTACAAAATAACTGTTCATTTATTTAATGTTTTTTGTTTTGTTTTTGTTTTTCTTTTTCTTTTCGTTCAACGTCAACAAATCTGCAATTCTGCAATTGCACGCAAATTATTTACAAGTGCTTTAAAAAAAAAAAACGAGAGAAAAAATGCATTACATTAATATTGTCGCCTTATGTTTAATGAGCAACGGGCAATGGGCTAATTAAAATGTCTACATTCCTACATATATAGTACATACTCGTACATCTGTATATAGTATTTATGTACTTATCATACGAATGCAATATACACACTTGATTATCCATTTGAATAGTTTTGGGTAAAAAAAATATGTAGAATTAACTTCAACTCAGTCAAAACAAAATATGTAACTACACTTAACGGTACATACACATATAGAAGCTATTCGTGTACAATATTTGTATATATTCCTAGACATAAGTATATGTATGTATACTCGTATATAACATAGATGTCACTTGAATCTTGAAATCTGCGTGTTTGGGCAACTCGCGAAACGATCGGGCGCTCAATTGCGATTATAGAATTTTCTTTGGTAGCGCTTACAGCTGCTGCCCATGCTGCCAACACCGCCGGCGCTGCCGCTGCCATTGCCGCTGCCATTGCCGCTGCCACTGCCGTTGCCGACGCAGACGTTGCCGCTCAGCCCAGCAGCAGCGGCGGCAGCAGCAGCACTCATGCCCATGCCCAGGCCCACACCACTGAGTCCCAGGTTGATGAGCTGCTGCTGCTGCTGCTGTTGATGGTGTTGCTGTTGATGGTGTTGCTGTTGCTGGTGTTGGTGCTGCATGCTGAAATGAACGCTGTTGTTGATGTTGTTGCTGTTGCTGCTGCTGCTGCTGCTGTTGTTGTTGTGTCCGCTGCCGCCTGCGCCGTAGAAGTGTGACTGACTGCCAGCGCCGGCGCCGCCGTTGACGCTTGTGCCCATGACTTTATTTTAGCTGGACGCACCCAGCGAGTTCTTCATGTGTGCAGCGGCAGCGGCCGCCGCTGCAGCGGCAAATGGGGAGCCCACGCCACCGCTGGGCGTCTGCGGTCCGTTGTTGTTGTTGTTGTGATCCCCCGGGGTACGGGGACCATTCACCATGACATTGCCGTTGCCGGCGCCAACCGGGCCGCCACCGCCATTGCCACCATTGGCGCCAGGTCCGCCACCCAGAAGGCCGCCAGCAGCTGCAGCCGCACCCGTCGGCGAGCCCTGGCCCAGAGAGCTGACGTGACGTTTCAACATCGGATGGTTGGCCATCGAGGCGAACACCAATCGCTCCTCGTAATCATACTCGCAGAGTATTTTGTTCTCACACAAATAAAATCGATCGCCAACACAGAATCTGCAATGAAATCAATCAATTCAAAACAATTCCAATTAGATAGATTCCAATAGGTAGATAGATAGGTAGATAGATGGGTAGGTGGATAGGTAGATAGGTGTGGTAGCCAGTATAAAAATCCCGCCCGTTCTATCCTGCATATCTACGCATATATTTCAACCATTCAGTAGCCTGCACGAATTAAGATAGATCCTTCGGCTTCATTTTGGATAATGCCAAAAGATTTGGAAGGAGGCTAGCTCCTTAAAATCACTGTCTTGTCCTTAGTATGGCCGGGCAGTAGCAGAAGAGTTGGATTACTGTTTCCTCCTCCTCGTCCCGACCGCTTCTACAGAAATCGTTATAATGAAGCCCTGCCTCTGATCACAGTGGTTTCGAACAGATAGTTCACAGCTGGCCATCGGTATCCTTGTCCGGAAGGAGAGAGAAAGGCCTTGCACCCACATGAGCTAAACAGAGAACTCTGTCGCCATTTCGGGGAGAGATCTGCGACAGTTCTGCATTGAAATCGACTTCTCTGATATTTATAGCCGAGCTTGGCAATATGGGGAGAGCTTCGCGGATAGCTAGGATTTTTATCTGGAACACACTGCAGTGGTCCGATAATCTGAAAGATTTTTGAATGCCAAGTGCAGAAGACGCCGCCGCCAATGCGGTTATCTAGCTTAGAAGCGTCTGTGAAGATTTTAATAAAGCTCTTGGGGGCCAGGATTCCAATCTGCCCCAGAAGGAATGATGGTGTAAAAAGAAGTGTGAAGATACGGATACATTTCCTCTCAGGACTTTGGTTTCCCTCATGCGAAGAGCCGCCAAAGTGGCGTTCATCTTCCCCATGAGCTGTATTGGAAGTTTTCTCAGAATGGCGTCTAGGGCGTCACTCGGGGTGGTGCGTAACGCACCCGATATCGTGAGTTCAGGTACTCTTATTCAACACTGAAATAGTGTTGGCCACCATTCAAATATTTAATAGAGCAAATTTGTACTCTCCTTTAAGCGGATCTGCACTTAAGAATTCTCCCAACTAGCTTGTGACCAACACAATTATTTCATGGAGCAATATTTTGAATTTTCCCAATGCCAGACTGTTCGTAGTCCGTTATAAAATTATTATCCGAAATTCCATATTAAATGAACCGAATTAATAGTATTATAGCCTTTATTTAATTGACTAATACAAAATGTTTCAATGTTTTGTTGTAGGTATTGTTCCAATACAATAAAACAAATTTAGAAAACTCTTGCTGCGTACACATATAAGGAAGGCATCTGTCTACAAAATTTGAGTTCTCTACCTCTTATAGCCTCTGAGATGTAGGTGTTCATACGGACGAACAGACAGGGCTGGATCGTGGGGCCTGCCACGCCTCCTTTTAGCTGTTACGGGTATAGGATTAAGGGTTAATATAAAATGCCTTTTGTTAGATCTCTTGCTTAGGTCTGCCTTCAAGTGGAAACCGAAGCTACTATAGTCAATCTGTCACTGCTGACCGAACAACAAAGGTTTCAAAAATGCGCCATTACCGAGGCAGCGAAGAAGCGTAAGTATTCTAGTGTAGGGGAGCAGCTGGCGACACTGTTCATCCGGCTTACAGACAACACTGGCATTTGTTGACTACTCGTATGAATACGTTGTTTAAGTCGTGAAAAATAAACTGTTAGACTGTCATTTCGAAGCTAACAATTCGTAATTGAGGGACTTGCTAAATTAAAAATCAGTGCTGTTCCAATCGTTTAAAACAATATGCCCCTATTACTTACAAAATATGTTGCATAATAATGAACAAGACAGAGGAAAAAGAACGTTCGTGGAAAATGTTGTGGATTCCTTGAAAATGCTCTTCGAAAAAAAGGAGCAATGGCCAGTAGTTGAGCAGCTAGTGATGGGTTCATCAAACTTCCTTTAGAACACCTTAAAACAGTCTTGATTTATTTCGCTTTCGTAATATACAAGTATTGTTTTGTATGCAAAGTGGAGGTAAATGTTTTGGATATATCAGAAGAAAATGCCAATAAATTTATGCATGGAGTATATATTTTGGTTTTGATTTCAGTTGCCGTTCGGCGGATTTTTTCGAGTGTATTTGCATTATCTATAGCATACATTTCAGGGCTGTGGTGGACTGGGGCGGAGACTCGGAAACGATTTTTCCACATGTTTTAACTTGCAAAACATGCCGTGCACAAAGAGAAAATGACAATTGACAGCGGTTAACTGTAGTCGGCTGTCAACGCAAATGCGACTGAGCATAAAGTTGTCTGAAACAATGAGGGCAACAGCAAGGCAACAAGGCAGCAAGGAAGCGAGATAAACGCTCAAATGTCGCACTGTCAGAAACAAGTGAATGGGGCAACAACAACAACGGACCCGGCCCAGGAAAAAGGGCACAAGTTGTGTTGCCAGCGGGCAACATTTAATGCACATCTTGTGCATAGACAGACGCAACTTTTTCCCCCGAGTCCGCATCCAAATGGAGCGGCGATAGCTGAAGCTGACTAATCAGCACACTCAAACGTACACTTAGTTCTTATACTATACATGCATATAGTATGCACCTCAGCAATTGCAGGCCAGAAACTAAAAGCAAATGTATATTCTTTTTCCACATTTCAGGCCCCAGGAAAATTTAAAAAAAAAACTACTGCCAAAAAGGTTTTTATTTCTTTCTGGAAGTATACCAACCGAGTTTGAAGTTAATCAGATAAAAATTTTAAATTGATATTTAATACAAACGTTGGAGCCCGTTTTTCCCCTTTGGAGTGTGAATTTTCTAAAACCGTGCCCTTCTTAGTGTTCCCTTACACTATGAAAGGAAACTTTGGGCTGTGGGTTGTGCGCCAATCAGCCATTCGCGACAAGCTGATTTAAATATATAGAGATATCGGACCTGTTTTTCCACCTCCCCAACCTAAATAAATCCCGCTATTTGTTCATGAGTGAAAAGCGTTTTGTTAGAATATTTTAGAAAAAAGTTTTTCCCTAAGGTTTTTAAGAACAACATAATGCAACACAAGATATTGATTAATCCTATATGTATTCTGAACAAATGATGTTGATTGGGTTCTTCATTCCATACAGCGCTTAAAATGACAATGAAATGTTTTCCCAAGTGTGAAGTGTCCTATTGTCTAAACAAACTTAAAAAAAAGAATCAGTCGCCTAGAAAGTAAGGAAGTATGAACGTCCTGGCATTGTTTGGTTCTGATTTTCTTTTTGCAAGAAGGAGATGGAGGACTACGCTTCTTAAGCAAAGAATGAAGCTGGCACTTGGGACAGGTTACCGCATCCACATCTTCAAGAGTTGCAGTAAGGTCCTAGCGTAAGTGTAAGCCTTTCCAAAAACGAACCATTAGTCTGTCCTTCTCTAAAGCATAGACAATGACAGATTGCTGATCCAGTCAAACGAGCAACTAAATAAAAAGAATTAAGTAAATAATACAAATCAGACACTTTTCTTTTAGCTCTATGCCAGCAGACACTCAGTGGCTGCTTAAGATTTAATGGCTAAAAAAGAAAATATGCTTTTATCATGAGACCAAAAACAAAGAAGTTTTTGGAAGTGTGATTAAAATTGAGATTTGTTTGCAGAGAAAGAGGAAGGGTAATGATCATTAACATATGATGGACAGTCCAAGAAGACATTACAAATGTCAGCTCAAGCCGGAAGTAACATGTGAAAGCATATGGAATGAATTCGTTATTTCCAAAGCTATGTAGAAAGGAAAAATAAATTTATTACACTTCCCATAAATTGATATTTTATTTATTTTATTCGCAAATTATCGGATTTGTTTAAGAAATGTGCGTTAGTTGGAAAAATGAAGTTGCAGCGCACTCGCACTCGCTTCATGGCAACATCTGCATCAAATACACACAGAAGCCCACAAAATACAAGTATATACTCCTACATATGTACATACATACATATGTAGTGTTTATGTGTTTGCATGTGTGTAACATGAAGCCTTTTGTCAAAATATTTGTGTTAGCACCTCACAAAGTAAGCAAAGCAAAGCAAAGCACAGCAAAACAGACTCCCAGCGAAACCTCCAACTCTCTCCGATTCCGATTCCGATTTCACTGAACCTTCGACTCAATCCTCCAGACTCTCCTCCCCTCCTGCATGTGCAAACGAAATGCGAAACCGAGCGCCTCCCCACACAAATGTTGGAATGCTGTTGGCTAACCAACCGATGGCACCCAGCCCGCCAAAGTGTGCAAAAACTCTAAAAAAAAAACAGGCAACGAATCCGACCACAATGAAATCAGATGGAATGTGGCAGGGGGGCTATGGGATAGAAGTCTGACATACCCAAGAGATTGGGTTTGATATTTCCAGCTTATATGTGCTTGAACATTTTGTATTTGTCGCTAAGTAAGCGATGAGAAGGCACTTGACGAGTTCACATCATACGAAACAAATATTCTCAACAATGATTTGATTTGATTTCTTTTTACCAACGATTTGATTCTTTTATTTGCTCTTAAAGATAATGTGATATCGCTTTTTCGATAAATATCGATCTATAATTACTTGATATGGCTTTTGCTATCTAGTGCTGGAAAAACATCGATGTTTCGATGTTTTGCGCAAAGAGCACCGATATATCGATGTATTGAACTTCCACTATTGGCGAATTTGACAAAAGTTTAAATTAATACATAATGTATTTCATGTTAGTTTTTTCAGCTTATTCATAAACTTAATGTTTGTTATCCTTTTCTCATTTTTCTACTTCCTCAGGTTCGCTGTCAATCTTTTTCAATCTACATACAAAAACAAATTTTTATATGTAAGTACATACATACGAGTTTTTTTGTTTGACGTGAAAAAGGTAGTAAAAAACATCGAACATCAGAAAAATAATATCGATGTTTGGAATAAATTATAAAACATCGATACATTGATGCTACAACGCAGTGTCGGCAAGCACTAATCTACGCATATCCTCAGCTCAGAATATGTTGGGAATATCGTTATGCTGGAGGAAAACAATCGCCA